TTGAAAGTCAGAAATGAAGAATAGAATGTACTAAGGTCATATTTTGTCTTTCTGTTCTGATTTGGATTATCAATCCATCATCTATCATTTACAGTACCAGTACTATACTTAATAGGACGAGATAGGAGTTGGAACTGGACCATATTACCATTATTGCCTGTCTGTTTGCTTGAGTTTTGCGCGATATGAATGGATGAATGTGTCTTTGTCTGACTTTATGGTAATTATATAACAGATGGCGCATGAGTGCCCACAGTTTTTTTTTTGGAATTCGTCATTTCTGAATGACGAGAATTGTTGGAAAATGAATGAACGAAAGCATTCGCCGAAATAGCTTATCTTTTCAATAACTGATAACATTAGCTTAGATGAGAGATTGTGATGTGATGAATAGTGGCATACTGAAAAGAAATATTTGTTTGAGATAATCTGGATTAATTTTTTTCTATCAAATCTGCCAAATTATTGAACGAATAAATGACCATATGGTTGTTTTAAATTACAACGGTAATTTTTCCTGTTTGGATTAACAGAGTTATGCAATGATTAATTAAAAAATCGTGAAATTTATTGGATATCGAAATTTATGCAATGAATCTGCTTAAGATTTACATTCATCACTATCGATGCTTACGGCCATCGGTAGTAAAACCACCTCTTAAAAAATGACAGATCAAATCACTGTTATCTGTCTCTCCAACTATTATCAATGGAAACGACCGAAATCACATGCCCAACAATTAGGCCAATCATTCATCGAATGAAAAAAACAGACCCGACAGATAATATTTAGTTTCTTCGTCTTATTACTGTAAAACTTCTCTTCAGCCTTAACATGCCAACGATATCAATGATAGACAGATTACAATCAGTGATGACTATAAAGATAATGAGAAGATATATTATGGGTATGTTTTCAATGCGAGTACGCTAACTGTTGGCTGCACGATGTTCCAGTTCACACTTATTTGCACCTATGCAATTTCAACTTGTCCATCCAGTCAATTCTTTCCAAAAGCCCTATTACACAATGCTTAATGTTATTCCGATATTTCAGTCATCAGTATGATGCAATGATCAAAAAAAGAAAAACGTGAACTGTAGTTATTTTTATTTGAGGATAAAATTACGATTTCGGGAAACTTTAATATCTATGACCATACATCTATTAATTGGAATCGACAAAAATTTGTAGCTAAAGAATGTTGAGTAAAATGGCATTTATCTTTTGATTGTGCCAAAGAATAAGATAATACATGCTTACAGAAATTAATTTAATTGGAAGATATCGTTTGAGTTAAACTTGCTGCAATGATCAAAAATTTAGTAGTATATTGAATACATTAAATAATATAATTGATTTCTATTGATTGGTTTGATTTTTTATCACTCTCAGTACATATGGTGTTGTTAAAGTAGTCGCAACGGATGATAACAATATAATGAAGAAATGAAACTTGTTCTATTCCTGAGATTTAGCTTATCGTAACTCAAGATTTTCCGGATATCGATGCTTATCCGAATGATGATATTGTTTAGGGTGAGCTTAACGATTTTGCTGATACATGGCGGAAAAGATACGGATAAGAACGATACTTTTCGTGTATAAAATCATAAAGCTTTTGTTCTGTGGATTAATGTGTTTTAATAAAACTTTCCAGTGTTTTTTTTAACCCTAATGATATGTATCCATTTAATTTCCAGTTTTATTTTTTGCTGATAGCAAATAGTTGGTGAATGTTGGAAAGGAATAAAATAAAATTTTCTGTTAGAAAGGAATAAAACAAAATAAAATTGTGGGAATTCTGCAGAACTATTTTCAATTTCGATATGAACGCTGACTTCCGTAGTGTTTGTTGCAAATGCTGAAATTCGTGGTGTGTAGGTGATTTATGTTAAGTTTGGGGGAAATATTAACTGATATGGAATTGAAATGAATTCTTCGATCTCAATGATGAGTCATCCCTTACTAACATTGTTTTTTTTTTTTCACTGATATTTCTGTCCTGTTTTCAATGGGGAAAAATGAAACAATATCCGATAATATTAAAGTGGAAATTTTGTGCATATTTTTTAGAAATATTTTGCACAATGCAGGCACCAAAATTGCAAGATTTTCTTTATTTCGACCTTAAACTTGGGTAATTAAGCCATTAATTAGATAAAAGAAACAATATTAATGTTGCATAATCACTCAGAATTTTTAAATAAAAATCAAAAAAAAAAATAAAATGACGCGTTAAAATGTGCTCTAGAAATGTTACCATAAGATCAATTCCATTAATCTGACAAATAAAGAAAAGATTGTTATCCTATTCTACATATATCTTTAAAGGAGTGATTTTACGATTACAAGAATTAGCAAGATTTTACGATTACAAGAATCAAATGTTCAAATGATCATATACTTAAAATACCACTTCAAATATCCAAGTAATCAAATACTTGAAATATTACCTCAAATATTCAAATGATTATGTACTTAAAATGCTACTTCAAATATCCAAGTAATCATGCCCATGAAACATTGAAATGTTACCTCAAATATTCAATTATTAAAAATGCTTCCAATAATCAAATAATCAAATATTTCATATTATGTGTGATGAAGAATAACTATTACCTAAGTAAATGCAATGCGAAGTCGAAAAGAGTATTGAAAACGGGAGTGTACAAATTGATAGGGTGGAAAGATCACTGGACAAAGTTGTGCAGAAAGAGACTAGCAGAGTATAAAGATTACCACAGAGAGTGTAAATGTTGGAGAAAGAGAATAGTTTCGAAAAATTTTTGCAGTAAGCCACTTAACGTTTACAATGACAATTAATGAGAACTGGAGCTGGGAGTTGTAGAGCTGAGATCATACTTCACAGAATCATTTCTGTAGTGTGTATTTCTTCGCTATCA